ATGTAGAACATTTTTTTAGAGCCCTTAGCAAAACGAATGACATTGTGCTGTAATCAATGTAAACCGGCTGTATATAGATTAAATAGTAGACTGAAATGGCTACCTTGAGGTAGACTTCCACAAACTTCAACTGAATTTGAAACTTCACAAGAGTTCGCGAAGAAAAGAAATTTAGAATCCACAGTCTACATTGAGACGGTATTTTAAAATCAGTCAGAATTTTACCTAGTTTCCCTAGATCGACGCAGTCATACGCTTTATTGATGTCTAAAATAGCATAATCACCTGGTTACCATTTGCTTTCTCACTTGCTCATTAAGACAAATACTGGTGGAAATGTGTTTCTGATAAGCATAGGGCCTAGAGGGGAGAAGTTGTGAGTTGTAGTTTTTAAAAGTACAGGCAGGAGGGATATGGATCTGAAATTTCTAAAGTTTTCAAGATATTTTCCAGCTGTAGGAATGGGTACAATTTTAATTGTACGCCAAACTGTAGGAAAAGAGTTAGTCATCCAGCGATCATTTATCGCAGATAGCAGAGCTGAAAGGCTTGAAGCGGAAAGAATCTTTACCATTTCGTATTTAATGCCATCATGACCCGCTGCAGTAGATTTCTTTTTTGATTTAAGGATATGTCAAAATTCTTTCAATGAAAATGCACAGATGTTTTCCACCTGCAAGTTAAGCGAGAGAATATTGAGAGCATTTGAAGTGGAAACCTGGGCTTTCAACCATTTTAAGTAAGGTTTGTTATTCTCGTCATTCCAAATGGGGTGTTTATATTTCCTCTTTGTAATGCGATGTCCATTCAAAAATTTCCAAAAAGGTTTTGTGGTGCCATTTTTACAAAGCCCTTCGATTACTTGAGCACGGTGACTTCTCTTGGCTTTTCTAACCGTTTTTTCACAAGATTATTTAAAAGTTTTTTCCGTGAAATAAAATCATTTACCTTAAATGAAGATAAGGAATTTGCGCTAAAAAATATAGGAAAATGGTGGCTATTTCCAAGATGAAATTCATTTTTGACTTCCCACTTAAAGGTAATGTTAGTTAAGTTAGTAAAAGTAAAATCTAAAACATTACCACAACCATTAGAAATGGTAGAGTGTAAGTAGGTCGTAGTACTATCGTTAAGGCAGTAGAAATTAATGAATTTCATACTTTCACGCAAAGCTTTCACTTTATTGTTTGACAAAGAGTCACCAAGGCAAGGGTGTCTTGCGTCAAAATCTCCTGCAATAATGACATTGTAATAACCATCAAGCAAGGAAAGAGTGGATGGAAGTATTGAGTTAAAAATAGCAAGCAGCAATGACTATATTTGGGTTTAGAAAAGAAGTTTTAACAATTACAATATTAGCAGCTGACTTGAAGAGAGTTCGCTTGAAGGAGATACCTGTCCTAGCTAAAATAGCTGCTTCTGCATAGCCATCACTCCTGCATTTATAATCGGAGTTGTAATTAGGGATCTTAAGGTCTGAAATACTATCATCAGACAGAAAAATTTCACTCAAGATTGCGAAAATGCGAGGGCATGCTAGGACTGAATTAGATGTACCTTGTTTTAGAAGGTCAAATTTTGATTCAAAGGTTGAAATTTCTTTTTGGATGGTGTTCAGTTGTTCTTCATAAGGAGTAGCAGAAAGAATTTTAAAAATCTTTTCCAATAATATTTCCATTTCTGTTGACTTGTGGTTATTGGCGCAGATATGCTTTTCGGAAGGATGGGGAGGTTTTTTTGGCTCCTGTATCTTAGTACTGTAAGTCGAGGGCATCTTGTGGATCGCCCTTTGCATAGGTTTGGGAATACCCGTTCTATTTTTAGCTACCGCATTAAATTTTTTTTACTGAAATATTGTTTGACTCTGGAGTCGGATCTCTTATGTTGTTGGATATAGTACTATTCTTCATTGCCGGGAAATCTTCATCGTAGTTGTTGTCTAATAGATTGAATGGATTGGTAGAGACTTTTTTTTTTTTCTCTAAAACAGATATTTTGGATGGTTAAGATTTTTTGTTTTCCTCCTTTTCCTTTTTGAAGAGTCTCTATATATTACATTATGGTCCAAAGGCCCACGCCCTAAGCATTTGATTAGTTTACAATAGTTAATGTGGCAGCCCGGCAGTTCAAGCATCCGCCTTCCGTGCTTTTGCAAAATTTGCAATGTGGCCAAAGCGGCCGCAATTGAAACACAGTTTAATAGCCTGATAAAGTCGTCCACTGGGACAACACAGTAATTGAATTTAGTGTTTGTGGGGATTAATTTTCCCTTGAGGTCAATCTTCATGCTGTTTGTAGGGATGAATATTTCTTTGTTGGGAGGATCCCTTCTATGAAGTCAAACAACGAAAACGATCCCAATTTCAGAAATAGCGGAATTCAAAAAATCTTCCTCCTTAATTGAAGGGGGAATATTTCTTACAATCCCAAATTTTTCAGAAAAGTTCCTAGGAATATAGACTTTACGAAGCTTCGAACGAAAGTCATTATTTTTAATAAAATATTTGCATCCACCGCATTATCAAAGCAAAGTTTAGCTTTGCCTTTGTTAATGGTTTTGATGCCAGTTTTAGATCTTTAATGTATTCAAAGAAAAACAAATCAAAACTGAGACATATATGTTTGTCTGTATCATTATTACAGACTTCAAGGAAAACATAGCACTCTCCCGTCACTTCATTATCATAAAAATTCTGACTTGTTAGGTCTAGGTTTTTTGCTTTTATGGGACTATTATTTAAATTACTATGCCCCACACTGTCACTGTTGGGAAGCGTGATTGGCTTATTTATAGTAGATAGGATCGGTGAAATTGAGATGGTGGTATTAAGCTTCGTAGACAAATCTTTTTCGGCCAAACTTTCCTTGTCAACATTTTTTTTCTTAGCACTCTGACTATGAGTAGTTTGTACAAAGTTTTCAAAATCCTCACAGTTTGACAACATTTTTATAAGCCTCACCCCTTTACGGGGCGGGCGATTTTTAAGTTTCGTGCTTGACTCTAGGCAAAAAGGTAAAGCCAAGGGAATCAAAAAGGATATGGAAGACCAGCAGGTTCTGAAGAAACCGACAGAGATGGAGAAAAAGCCTTCTATGTCTAAAAGATATAAGAAATCCACTTAAATCGCCGCCACTTGATGTCCAGTGTAATTAAGGGTTGTCCAAGTAAGTCTTGCCGGGATAAACTGGAAGACAGCAGGTGGTGCTTTGCACGCTGCGGAACAGTACAAAGATGTCGAGACTCTTGTTGATTATGTTTAATTACCGCACTTATAAATTGAAAAAAAGGTTAGAAATGGTTTTTGCATATATAAATCAATTTAGAGTTTTTTTCTTTTTAAATCGTTTGATTAAAGTTTGATTAAGTTTATTTTAAAAAAATTTTCTTTTAAATTTTTCAAATTTTTAACGGAATTTCTGCACCAAAAAAAAAGACGTCCTATTTCGCGCAGGGTCTGCCCTTTATTGAATATGTACTCTGAGAATAAAATTTAGTTTCCTGTATATTTCTTATAAAAGATTCTTTTGACTTTGCTGAAAATGGCATTTTTTTCTCTCAGATATTTTTTATTATTTTGTTTGTCAGAATAGAAATATAAGTAAAGAAATATAAGAAACAAGGAAGCACTGAACTAAAAGTGTTGCTAATTGCGTAAAGAAAAAGGGTTGTGGTTTTCTCTGACTTACTATCAATATAAAAAGTAGATTACAGTGGATTGGACTTTCCACAAATGTCTTTCTATAGCAGTTTTGACCTTCGACATAAAATAAGTGTCCAAATCACTTGGTACTTCTCCATATTTTATTGTGCCAACGTCTTTATTGAAAATATCTATAGAGCCAAGGCTTACGCCTTGGAACAAACCGACTTTCCTATGTTCATTTTGTTCTTCTAAATTGAACGCCCACATGAAAATTTTGGATTTCGATTTCTACGATTTCAAATGACGGTTACTTTGTTCTCCTACAAATTAAGCGACACCACATTCATTGTCGTAAACGCAGACATCAACTGTGGAGCTTCACTTGCAATTTACTACTGATTATAAATTCATTATAAAAATTCACAAGTCCGCTCCCACTTTAATACGTTTTTGTACACTTAGCAAGTTATTGCAATAATCGAACAACTGTTTAATTTTCATAATAATGCTTGGTTGTCTCTAGGTAGAAAATCAGCTTGTAGCTTACCCTCAAACTCTAACCCGGTCTGTAGATGTCTGCCTCTGCAATATTTTTGGTAAGCACTTTGAAAATAAAGAGCAGATTAAAGATTTCCCATGTGCAAGTTCAACTCAATCTTAAGTTTTTTTAGTACTGAATATATTTTCGCAATATATCCACGAAGTTTGGTATAGTAGCGCGTAAGGATAAAAACTATTGGACATGTATTACATTGGACTATTATTTTCTCACCCCAAATTTTTAATATTTCTATATATATATATACATATTACTACAACTGGTATATTTGACAGATTAGTCAAAAATTGTTTGAAAACGAGGTATGGATGTTTCGAATTATCAAAAGGTAAAGAATTCCGTAACTTTTTCCAAAGTAGGTGCCATTTTTAAGTCCGAAACGAAAATTTCTTAGTAAACGATTTTGCGATTTTGGTTAACTGCAACGAACGAAGCCAAATTCTTTTTGATATTCTCATATATATTTGCGGAATTTCGTAATTTGGACGGAGTCGACTTCCAAATCCAATTATAACCTAATTTAACCTAATAAAAACTACAACTTAACTAGTTAACAGGGCTCCGTATATTTTTTAGCGTCTTTCCAGAATCATTCATGGCGTTTTCCGCCTCGGTTTAATCGTTTTAAACGGAACCGTGGCTCGCCGCCCCTTGGTGGTAGATGCTCGCCTCGGCAACGTTCTTGTTCCCCAATGCGTCGACGTAGAAATAAGTTAAGGAAGATAGCAAGTGCCTTTAACGGACGAAAATTGCCTTGGCAAAAATTGTTAATGTCATTCATTCACTAATTTTCTCAATTATTGATATATATGCATATATATATATATATATTTAGTTATTATTAGACATGCATACGTATTTGCTTTATAAAGTAAATAAAATTTAACATGGTTGTAAAATTTACATAATTGATTAAAAAAACAATTTATGCGTTGCCATCTTTCATTCATTTTACTGCTTATACAGTTCTATTGGAAATTACTGAAGTCGGTCTTTAATTTTATAGTTGGCTTCTTTTGCTTTTCTATACTAAGTCGATTTTCCGATGTTTTACCTTTATTGTTGCTGTTAACTTGCGTTTGCTGTTGGCTGCGTATGGCATTTTCTAACTTTTGCCTTAATTCCGGCGATTGACTCATTAACGATTTAAATTCTTGCGGATATTTCGGCCCTATCTTCAAAAGCCATTGCAAGGAATGGTCGTGCAATTGTCGTTGATATTTCGGCAAAATTCGTAATTTTGTAGATTCGGCTAAACAGTTAATTAAAGCAGGTACCAGCAAACTAAGTATTTGTATACCTATTTGAGAGTGAAAGATTTAAAACATTAATGAAGAACTTATGAAAAAAAAAAGAACAATAAAAAATAACTTTAGTTCGAATCGTATGAGTATAGAAGTTATTAATGAATTTACCTTGCATTAGAATTCCTACATGAAATGAGCATTGATTTCATAATTGTTGTTAATATATTATTATTTTAGAGTTTGAAATGATTAGGAAAATGAAAGCAATCGAGAAAAACACAAATTAAATAGAGAAATGAATGAATTGTTAACAATTTGTTAAGTCCTTAAAATACTAACGCAACGAAATATGGGATGTAAATGTCGTTATTAATTATTAAGTACTATTTAGCTTGGTGCAGATATATTCGATCTGCTCCGAACTTCTTTCTCCGTATTAAGGAAACGTCATGCGATGTTTACGAAAATCAATTTACCTGATGCCATTCATGTTAGTACAAATTATACCTTAATACAATCTATGATTTTCATGGGGTCGGGTGCTTTTCATAAAATAAAATACGCGTTTTTTTGACATAATTCGAATTATGCAGCTATAGGAAGACAGAGTTCGTGTAACAAACTGTTACTTGGGAAAAACATATAATTCCGTTTCACAAGTCCAACATGAGAATGATTTGGACTCGTTATCATTAAATATTTATCTGAAATTTCGTAAAAACATGTTTCAGAAAAGCAAGTTTTTTGCCGGTAAATATAGACAGAAAGTTTTGAAGCAAATTCCTGCTATATTTCAAATCGATATTTGCGACAAATTATTTCTAAATAGTGAATTTCCTACAAACGGACTGATAATATTGTTATATGCTTGGTTTTCCCGTTATGGTACCATCCTGCCCTAAGGCCAAAGATTTTCGCTTATGTCGCTAATTTCTTTCTGCCCGACATGGTGATGAGTGAAATGTACTTAAAATTTTTTGAAGACATAAATTAATTCGTAGAGCTTAGCGAGTTATTTAACCTCAGCACAAATCTACTTACGATTTTGTGGTTCAGCCAAATCGATTAACGTTTCAACGGTCACAACACTTTCCAGTACAATTTGTAGCTCAATTTCAGTTCGAGGTTGTTTGGTTGTGTCCAAGTATAGACCTTCTATTATTCGTGGTGCCAAAGCGTGTATATAGGGTGTCGAAATTTTAAGTTCGGCTTTCGAAAAAATTGATTGAGCCGTTTGTATACATCTTAATTTAACGGTAAGATTATCCGATTGTAGATAATGTCGAAAATGATTTATGCAAGGATATTGCAAAGAAGGCGCAGACACAACTGCGGGGGGAGTATGCAAAAGGAAAACAGCTATTGCTTGTAACATTGTCACTTCATCCATTTTACGATCCTCACTGTTTCCTGCAGTTTTCGTAAGATCAACTATGGTAGCTAGAGAACTTTGCAGTAATTCTTGCCAATCTGCAGTCACTGATGGATGCTGTGCCCATTTATCTTGACAAACGGATTCAAGCACTTCTAAAGCCGTTTGTATCGCCACTGTGTTGGCAAGTATAGTGGAATCAATGATGGATTTGTTGGCAATTTCTTTAATAATCGATGTAGTCATATATAATATAGTGGGCAAAATGCTAAGAGCACCCTTTGGAGAACATAAAGATGTAAACTCTTTAACGCATTCTAAAGCACATGCCACTAACCGTCCATTATCTTCTGGTATTTTGGTAAAAAAGGACTGTGAGTGCAGAGAGTTTTTGGAAATAAGATCCTTACGAATTTGCATCAGATTAACGGAACCAGGGTTCATAGTTGGTATTTGACGTACAACCAAACAAAGACAAACTTCCATTAAAGCATAAACTAAAGATGAGCCCACTGTTATTTCACCTGATGTATTGCCCTCGCCCAAGTTATCCATTTCTTCCTGAAGACAGCTATTACTTTTACTTTCAGCTACGTTTCGTTCTAAATGTTCATCTTGCACGGCGTTTAAATGTTCTTTTGCTGCTAAAACTGTCAGCTTCAGTATTTCAATGCATAGTAGCTGTATGTAAAGATCATCACTCGTTAATATTTGACGATGGAGAACGTTACATAATTCAATGGCCAGAGTTTTATCTCTAACTAACAATTTGCGAGCCCATTTAGAGTCGAAGATCGTAAACAATGATTGCAAGCAACTTATGACATTTTTCGGTTTTTCAGAGGTGCGTGCGCTACATAACGCTTCCATGCATATGCCGAAAATCATATGAAATCTATCAATGGATGGAGAATCATGAAATACGTTATTATTGGCTTCCACAGGTGATTCGCCTTTATTTTCCTCATCTGCAGGAAAACCTGCATCACAAAGCCAAAGCGATGTAGCATATAATATAATAGGCCAAGCGTTCTTATAATGAGGCTTAGAAGAATTAATGGTATCCGTGGTATAAAAAGCACCACCATCGTGTGGTAATTGACTTTGAAACTCGGTAGGCAACAGCAATAGCGCGTGATCCTTCATTGCGGATAACCAATGTTTCGATAGGCTATCTAATTCGGGCTGCACTAGCAAAAGTAGACTCTCCCCACCTCTCTCATTTCTTGACGATCTCCCGATAGAATCATTATCATTATCTGTAGATCGATATATATTACGAAATGCTTCAAATGATCTCCCTGCTGTTAGTTGCTTTTGTAGTAAAGCTGCTGGAGCGGTGCCGTTACCAATCATCGCTACAATATAAACTTCAGCCCAAGCTTTTAATATACTCAACTTTTCCAGCGTAGCCATGGATTCATTAAACAACTGCGTGCTATTCGTTTTCGTATGTAACTTCGAAAGCGAGGATACTAATAATTGATGAACTCTACGTAGATCATTTAGGTCGCGTGCGACACCCGACCCAATCCAAGCAGAACAAACTTCACAAGCAGCCGCTGTAACATTTGATGGCGTATCAGATGTGAAAGCAGGACGTAAGGCCGCACCAACCTAAAACAAAAATTTAGAGTTAATATTGTTTTTAAGGGAAAAGTCATTTCGCATTTATTTAACCTGAGCCTGATATTGTTCGAGTAATAAGTGGCCGGGAAATTCTGGTTCAGGCACGTTGGCGAAGCGATCTATAATCTCCTGTAAAGTGCGTAAGCCCTCTAACCGTAATTGATCTGCATCGGAAGTAGCTGCAATAAATGACATACGTATCAAGTCAGAAAGGTGAAGTATTAGATAATCGACGTTTGATTTCGTCATTTGCATTTCCTTGGCTTGCAGCAAATCAAAGTGGAGCGGACTAGCATTTTCACAAGCTGTTATGATTCGTCGTACAGATTGCGCTGCAAACACTCGAGTTGTCCACCGCGGCTGCACAGCTGGGTGTGTAGACAAATCATCGTTGGCATGATATTCAGTTACATCATCAGCATCATCATCTTCATCTTCGTCTTGACCCACTGTTCTTGACGGCCCCGCTTGAATATTTGACGAATTATTTGCTATTTCATTTTTAACACAGGCTGAAGCATCTTCTAATAAAGGGCTATTTTCCACAGCCACAGTTAAGACATTCTTACATAAGCTCAACCAGGTGCTCAAATTATCTGCAGCCATTAGTGTTATCATCGAAGTTAGAGTATCGTGAATATTTTTAAGCATTTCATAATTCGTTTCCGAGTCCAACATGGCAAACAACATGCCAGGCAAACCGAATTCGTTGGCAGCCAGTTTTGAAGAGTCCTCCGTACTGATCGATAAAGCTAGACTGCAAACTTTTTTGGCCTCACGATGAGCTATTTGTCTAAGGCAAGAGACAATAACTTTCCTTTGCATTAAATACGGGCTGGATAAACTTTTCACTAGCATCGGTACAAATTCTGCAAGATTTATACTGGCTGGTGAAAACAAATGCAGCTGTTGTAGACAACTTATTGCTTCCGATTGCACTAAAGGATCTGAATGGGTTTGCATGACGGAAGTAGCGCAAATAAATGACGTCCGAATATTTGCTATAGCAACAGCATCGCTCTGTTGAAAATAAAGTTAAAAATTACATGTAAATATATTTTCTAAATTTTATAGTGAGTGGTTTGTTCGATTAAACAAAGACAGTAACGAGAAGACGCATGCGGAAACCTCTGAGCACATCTAATGTTTTCACAAGGTTATTGATATTTGTCGCATGTATCCATTGAGAAACAGACTATTGTATAACAAATATTATCCAAAGTGTGACGGCAAGTGTTTGTAAAGAAAAGATAATTTTCAAAAGAGTTGGTGGATAAGCATGCTTTAAGATCTATATACAGATTTAACAATTACCGAACAATCAAGCTTTATTTAAGAAATTAGTGAAAAAGCACAAACCTGCAACTCAGGGCCCATTGTTGTCATTAACGCATTCAATACATGGCCGATACACTGATGGATGTCTGTATGCGACTGCGGTACGCTTAGCAGTAGTTTAAGACAGAGCGTTTGCGTAGCCTCTACGTAGCCACGGAACATTGGTCCGCCAGAGTCAGCAATTAGTACTAGAGCATGCAAAGCCCATAATTGTACCACTGGCGATGATATATCCTGAGCCAACGCTAACAATATGGAAACACTTGTGTTTAAATGTTGCGAACATCCCATGCTACCAACGTAACGATGTAAGCATCCCAGTGCCATTGAATGGCCCGTACGCGTCACAACATCGCGTGCTTGTTTCAATTTTTCAAATGAATTCTGTGTCAATTCGGCTGTCAAGCGGGAGTCACCAACAACTTGTGTCAGTCGACCAAGAGCTTCAGCAGATGCACATCTTAATAAAGCATTTGAACTGCTTATTGTCGAAATGATTAAGTTGGTAGCGCTCTTTCGTACGTCATCCGGACCAATGGCTGATTTGCTATCGGTAAGACCTTTAAGCCCGCTTAGCAAAGCAGTAAATATATTCATTTGTACAGCTTCTTGTCGAACACTTTTTGCCTGTTTAATACACTCGGTGAAATGATCCAACATTTGCAGACGATGCTTATTAGCCACCCTCGGAAATATAACACCAAAAAGTATAATTGACATATCAATAATGGCAACACCGAGTGGCAAAGGCCCTGGGCACTGATTTTGTCTACCATTGTAGGCAGCATTGCTTGAATATATTATGTGACTCTCAATTGCTCTATAAAGACAACAGGGATCATGTTCCAGCGCTCCGGATCCAGCAGCACTGTTAAGCTGAAGCTAAGAAGAAACAAGAAGCTTTCATAATAAACAAAGTGGGTACCATTAAAATTGCAACAAGTATTTCTAGGAAGAGCATGCAAAGAAAAGGAAAGATGTTGTGGATGGGAATGGCAAACATAACCAAATCTATGTAGGTACGAATAACAAGCAACACACTTACATGATCACCATCCCATTTACGGTGCGACTCCATCTTTAAGTAAATCGATATACGTAATAAACAATACATAGGGAAAGTTAGACAAAAGTCAAAAATTAAATTACTATAAAGGAGCTAAGTGTTTCTGTATTTTTGCGTTTCCTTTTTTTTTTGTTTTGTTCTTCAAGAATGTTTGATTATAACTCCCATCAGCAAAAGCGACCAGAAGTATAATATATTATAAAACTACTGACACGATTTTTGGTGAAATTTGAGGATATTGTAGGTGACATACGTAATTGTTTGCTAAATTTAGATAATGTTAGTACTAATTGCAGACATAAGACAGTGGCTGTCCTTCTCATGTGCAAGCATGCGGTATCGAGAGACACCACGAGCACTTCCGCGCTTATGCATATCTCAATCAATTGTGATAACGTTGGTAATGTTCACCTAATCTTCTTCACTTATCTTTGTACTGGAAAAAATCTTCACCTTCGTATCGGATGAAGACCATTGCAAAATTTTTGCTATAGCGCATATTTATATTCTATAGGTATTTGTTCAGAGTTAGAGATGATCGACTTCCTCTACTTTACCGTAATTCTCCTTAAAAATTCTAGGAGTTTTCATTAGGCAAAAGAATTCGGCCCGTAGGCGCTGCCAGATTAATTTAGCCAAACTATTACGCAGAAAGTTTGTCATGTTGCAATATTGCTTTACGTTTATGCAAATGCTTCTTTATTCTGTTATCAAAAGTTATACTGTATATGCAAGAGATAAATTTTTGATAAAAAAAATTTATCGAGTGCGAACTGGGTTAGATAATAGAAGTTTAACGTAGACATGGAAGCATCTAGGAAACTCGGTATACAAGCATTGATGTAATAATTATGTTAAGCTTACCTGATCTTCTATACTGTGATGATCGGTATCTTGAAGCCAAGCACCTAAAATTAGCGAATTGCCAGTGTGACAGAGAGTACGTAAAAGTGAGTTTGTTGTATTGGCGGGATTTTCGGCGAGCGTAAATTCAGAGACCAACATGCGTAGAAGGTGTGTGTAGGAAGACTCCAAAGTATTTGCAGGCATTTGGGACAGAGTCTCATATAGTCGTAATCGTACCATAGCTGCAGGAGCTTTTAGTTGGGTACCATAGTTTCTTAGTACGGGGGATAAACTGAAATTGGTTTCATGTTTTATACAAAATGTCGTATGCTAATTTTAACGGATTAGAAAGGCTAGGGTGGCTCACATCATTTTTACATAGACCCGACCAATCGTCAACATTAATGAATTAAACTTACTTGACTAGCATAGCCAGAGCACTTTCAATTGGTGTTATTAAACGCCTTGTAATGTCCTCAGTTACCAAATCGGGACAATTTAGAAGAAAACTGTGCATTACAGATAGCGCACCAGCTCTTCCTTCCAATGTTACTTGCCAGGTAAAAGAATCCCCTCGGGCCTTTTCTGATTCAAGTTCCTTATTGGAGCGTGGAAACGAGTGCCTCCACAATAGTAACATACGTGGTAATAAGCCTTTCACTACCGAAGAACCTAAAGTCATTATGGAACCAATCAACAGCCAACCGGCTTGGGTACGATTAAGTGACATTCGGCTGTTTTGGGAAGCCGAACGGAGTAATTCTTCGGCGGCATTAAAAACTATCTTCCCTTTCGTATGTGGTATGCCCAGTGGAGAATGGTGAACGCTTCCTAAAATGGCAGCTAAAGCACAACTGTAGCCGGACACAGCCTCTGGCGATGAACGCATCCTTTCTAAAGTTTCTAAGAATCGATCGATGAGAGGAGTTATTAAACTTGGGACTGCCATACAAAAGCTACGCATACACCAAGCGGCTGCCAGGCGAGCTGCTGCGCAAGGATGTATTAAAACAGCACAAATCGTATCGAGGGTATTCAGTGTTTGATCAGTTAAGAGGTTTTGGGCAGTGGTCCCCAAACTTTGTACTAACGAACTTAGTTCGTGAAGAGCGCACACCAACAAATGCTGATTGAAAAGCGTTTCCTGGTTGGAATCTTTGGCATTTTCCGGATTAAAATCAATTGAATTCATTTGTTTTGCTATCATATGTAACAGTTCCTTGCAAGCCGTTATTTGAGTTTTTTCACCCAGCATTTTACCCAAAACTGAACGTAATATGAAGTTGATGCACTTGCGTGAGTAAACGGCATCAACGTGCGACGAAGCAGCTTTGGGGTTTGCTACCAAATCTAATATGTGCGTTAGAAATGTATTTAAATTTCTTTCCAACCATACATTTCCCATACATTCTACAAATACCACATAGGCTTGAGTAACGCCTACTCGAATTTCTCGACTCACACTGGAGTTTCCTTTAATAATTTCGCCCGTTCCTTTCAAAAACGATGCTCCACCACGCAAAAATCCCGACATGAACACACTAAGTGTCTCATCCAACGAAATGCATCGAGCATTTGATGACTTAGATTGTACTGCGGGTACAGGAAGGCTGGAAGGTTTTTTCTGGTTGCCCTCATTTTGTTGCTGAGTATGAGCCAATAAAGTACCAAGAAGTTTTGCAATCGCACAACGCACTTCGTAATTACTGCCATCGAAAGCCCGAAAACACAGAGCTGATAAGCTTTCTAGCTCTGTTTGATAAAGAAAGGAAGCATGCTGCAACATTTCCAGTAAACATCGAGCAGCCGTTACTCGTACCGCCATAACACGATCGGTTAAGCAATGTTTGGTGGCTTTGTAGATATCTTTGTGAACATTGGCTATTGCTGAACCCATGCCAGAACAAACTTTTTCCAAAGTTATCATAATTTCAATGCGTGTCTGAGATTCGGCATTACGTAAAGCTCGTAAAAGTATATGAACAGTTTCCTCATAAGAACGGCCCATCATGCGGCCAAGTTTCTCATACATAGAACCCAAAACGCAAATTGCAGCTCTACCGCGACGAAAAGGGGAATGAGAAAAAAAACATTATTATTTACTCAATACTTTTTTTTTCTTCTTATATCCACCAATTAGAGATGGCAGTATGTTAATTTTGTCAAAACGGTAACCATATTCTTCTCTTCGTCTATGTACTGTCTGTTATGAACATTCCCTTAGTCACAAAAATTGTAGATATCCGCTTGAATTTCGGCAAAATTATTGAAGGTTGTTGTATGTCGTTCGGTATTGAAAATGTTTCAAATCAACTAGAGAATACGCCCGCACTATGCTAAACTGCAAACACCTCTGTTTTCAAAAGCAAAAAAAACAAATTGCAATTTCCGCTCATTACTCATAAACTGCGCTATTTTAAGATAAAACTGGTGGATATAGAAGATTCGGTCACAGCCGAATATAATTTCCATACTTGTCTTTTGTGCAGATTATTTTTAATTCAATTTTACTTACAGTTTTGTAGGCAAGTAACTAGGTGAGTCATCCTTATTTTTAAGTATATCATTGCAAGTATTTGCCGTATCGAATAGCATGAATGTATCGCCCACGGAGAATAATGTAGCTAAACAATTAGCTAACAGTTTGCGGGTTGGTGGACCCGGTGACCCATTTATCTGCGCTGTTAATTGAAGCACTAATTTTTTCTGACTCTCTTTGATCTCAGCTCTACTGCAAGTAAGCAATGCCTTCTCCAGGTTACGCAGCCATTCAAATATGAAAATTGACCGCTTCGGCTCAGCCAGATCCTTTACAGCATCTCCGTCGAGCAAAAGATTTTGAATAGGTGCCATTTTAATGCCCTTGCACTACCTTTGTCTTATTAACAATTGTATACAAGTCTGTAAAAAGAAATACAAATAAACAACTCTCATTAGTTCTTTGGGAAAAGCAGTAAAGTTTTGCACAAGTTGGAAAATTTGCTATTATAATGTTCTTAATCACAAATACGAGGAAACAAATATAAGTATTTTACCCATATCAGGACTAATTTCTAGTGTCTACTATGTAATATGTTGGTCTTATCGAGTGTATTCGTCTGGATTGACGAGGATCCATGGCAGTAACAATGTATGTACTTTATGAGCGGAATATCTTCACTACGCAAGGCAAGGTAAAACGATTATACCAAACCAATGAATATGTCCGTCCGCAAAAAAACAAGAAAGTGATCAACTTTTTCGTATTTTTAAACTATGCTTTTAGAGTTAAGGCGCCGTTAATATATACACGATAAATTAAAATATACGCCTCGGCATATCGAAAGCAAGGAAATTTGGTATACGACATGGGAATTATTATCAAAATATCTTATCGGACAAACTTGACATTCAAAATCGCTTTATTTTCATATAGATTTAGTGTGAAAACTATTGTTTTGGTTCTAGTTTCAATACACCGTTTTTAGTTAAAATCCCATCCTTTTTCCTCTTGTGGATGTTAAGTTTGAATGAACCAATAAGCAAAGTATCTTTTATGTTATTCGTAAAATATTTTCAAATGAACTCCTTCTAACACTCTAAAACTTAAATTACACTAAGCTGCCATACGTTGCCCCGCCATTTTCACTTCAAACAGAAAGAAAAAAGAAAGTACATCTCATTAAGCGATGTTGTTATCCTTTTTATTTTTTATATACTTAGGCTAAAAACGGCATTGCCGGTATAAAACGCAGAGCTTTAGCCGTGTCGCTGTTGGGATTATTTAATTCGTTAATAAGGGCTTCGACACGGGTTATGGTATCAATACGTTTCACGTCCCCACGTTCCAGCAGGCGCTTAAATAATACATGCAATTGTCGGGCTGATGATATATTAGAGACTTTTTGCAATTCATTAAGCAAGTCCTCTGAATAACCCTCGTATTTACTTAAATTCAAAGTTTTAGCATCTCGCTTCAGGACATCGTAAACAAGCAGAAACTCCATATAAGGCCTTGCAGGAGGCTCACGTTTTTTGCCAGCATTCGATAATGCAGACCAAGGATCCGTCGATGTGTGCGAACTGACGATCACTCGTCCATAGTTATCATCATACAAACGCAGAAAATTATCTATAGATTCCAAGATATTTGCCGGGTGCTCGGATTTAGCATCAGTTTCTATATCACGTATCAGTGATAAAGGCAATGTATTAAATCTTTCCCAGTTCGATTCAACATTATCGAACTTCATTTTATACCACTTTTTAAACGGAGCAAACAAAGCAGGTTTGTGGAACCGCGTAGGAATTGATGATGACGGTTCCTTTGGTGTAGTTGCGTGTGTCCACCATTGAGGAATGGCCCATACCCCAAAAGTGGTGGTGGTAGAAATTGGTGATTTTGTGGTATCAGAAGAGTAAGAATTATTGAACTTTATGTAAATATCTTGAAGCGATGGCATTTTCGTCGTGGAGGAAGTCACTTGATTTCCCCAGTTGGAAACCGACCATAAACCGGAACTGCTCGTGGAAGTTAGCGACATTGTCGTAGTAGGAAGATATGAGTCATTATTGTTTGTTGCACCATCTCGTACTGTAGTCATTGAAAAGGGCTCATATTGCAAATGATCCAAATAATAAGCTAAAACTTGCATACACGCTGGTAAGTAACTATTCAACAGATTAGCTCCATTTCCCCAGCCTACACATATACTTAAGGTTAGTAATGTCAAGCAAGTTTTTTTATATTTCATTATGAAAACTTTCTTCTTGTAATAACAAAGGCGGACTAACTCTTTTGTTTAAAAGTTCGTCTTAAACAAGTTTTAAGCCAAAAATTTTTCTTCATTTCGCTTATGTATTTGTTATGTAGATATTAAATATGTTTAAGTAGACATTCATGAATATTTACGAATATGTACTAAGCTAACTGAAAAGTTCGCAGACGGCTATTTGTAGAGCAAAAAAATATGTTGTTAACTTCAAAAACGGTTCTTGAGGAAATCAAATTGAGAAAGGTTCATCGCGATTATAAATTCAAACTTTCCGGTAATTGAAAAACAACAAAAGATCTTATTCTACAAACAACACGCTGACGAATAGTTTTTAAAAAATCGTCTTCTATAAAGCAAATGTATTCGCAAACTTGTGGAAAATGCATGTTAGTGCAAAAGCGACATCGAACGAACTTTTAAAATGAAGTTTTTCCACTATTATACGCTGTATCAATTGTGGTGCCGGGTATATTAAGTTTGTGCGGATGTACTTGACACACAGAACGGCTTAAGAACGACAAAACTTTTATTAAATATAATGAATATATCTAAGTGTATGTGTCCGTCTGATGCCTGCTCATATAAGACTGTGTTTAAAGTGCAGGCCACAATATTTGGGATATTTCGATGAAATTTGGTACACTGACGTGCTTTGGTGCAAGGACGAACGGTATTGAAAATGGTTCGGATCGGTCCATTTTTCCGACCATTCCCCATTTAAGGTCTTTTTGGGAAAAGTCGTTATATGGAAGAAATTGCAATTTTCAAAATTTCTTAACAAAGCTTCACTGGGGGAATCTTTTGAACCCACTCTCATATAACCGTTCTTACGGAAATTAGACCCTTACATAGTGGAACTTTGAATACTTCATGGTGAAAATTTGTTCTTCGTAGTAAATTGTCATAGAAATCAACTTTACCGAATTTGGAGCTATTCTTTGGATACCATCGCATGTAAGAGTTCCTCCAATATGTGGGCTTTCATGAAAAATATGCCTTTGCATGAAAATAATACGTATCTTTTGACGTCTTATTAACAAAGCGATTGGATAACTGCATTAGACGTAGCGGTGTAGGATATCTAACTGTCGCTCTTGCCCGGCTATGTTTTTACTATGTAAACTTCTTATTAAAACGTTGTCAATTAAAATTAACTACCATAAATTTGCATTTTCCAAAAATTTACTCATTGTCAGCATAGTCCACAAAATGTTCTACTGAATAGACATATCAAAAAATTTTTGGAATTAAAATTTCGTGTATTTTATGCAACCATTTTTATAGTTATAAAGGAGCTCAAATACTTGTTTATAAAGCGATTTTCAACATTGTGGTGATAAGACTTTGGGCGCATCCTTTCGCATTTTATTAGAGATGATACTTCGAAAGGTGAACCTAATCGGATTAATAGTCTTTAATGTAGATGTAAAAAATATGCCATAAAGTGATTGATGGTCGCGTGCAATGCAATGAACAATATGAAGAATTATCTAAAGCGCTTCATGTAATAAACAAAACAAGTAAGAACAATATAGTCGGACAAAGCCGACCTTTACATATCCAACACCACACTGTCTAATAAAATTGTTACTTTTATTATAGAATACTAAAATTACATATTGTTTCTATATAAAGGCAAATTTTCCAAGTGCGTATTTATGGGGAAGCATGATCAAAACGCAACCTGTGCGGTACAACTTTAATCCTTAGATAAGACAGGATCCAAAAATAGGTGTGGATAGTATAAATTTCGTAGCGTTCATTTCTGTATGAAATTGGTCAATTGGAATTGGTGAAACTTAGAATTTTCTGCTCCACAAATGGCTAATTTTCTTGAAAAAACTTATTAGCGTAGGATCCAAAATATAGGCCGACAAGGTCCAAATTTGGCCCATTTAATTAATTCAGCAACTTTTGCTAAGGAATTTTGATAATAGCAATTTTGTCCATATAACTTTTCAGAATAGGGCATTATATGGGCGGTGGTCGAAAAAGTGGACCGATCGGAACTATTGTCAACAGCGTTTGTCGTTGGGTCAAAACACGTCAGTGTACCAAATTTCATCGAAATATCTCAAAAATTACGACCTGCACTTTAAACACAAATTTACATGGGTAGACACCAGACACACCGACATGCTTAGATCAATTCAAATGATGATGTTGAATCGAACGGCGTAATAAAAGGTGGGCCCTTCTGCGTGCTACGTATGACCGCTCTAACTTAATACACTCTGTACCACAAGTGGTGTAAGGTATAAGTATTGCTGTATATATAATACAATCCGAAGCTTGAATAAGGTATATAAAGGAAAACTTCTTCCATTTAGCGCAAGAAATGCAGTGAGGAAAAATGCTTGCCCTGAATTTCGTTTCACTTGTTACTTAGGTTTCCAAAAGATTCAATATACTTGTGAAATAAATGTTAGCAAATTAATACACTTGAACTTGTCTGCACAGCAGCGATCGTATTTCAAAACTTATATACATGGCATGACATATTTATTGTTTTGGGCCATGCGACTGCCGGCGACTTGCAGCTTCAGCAGCTTTTCTTCTGGAGTCCTTCAGGAAATTGTGCAAGAGCATCGAGGCACGTGTTTCATTCCTTGATTCCGGCGTCATCAACATCTCGCTTGGAGTGGATCGCCCCGTCGATCCTGGCGATGACGCAATTGAATAAGCTTTAGGAACAGTTTCACATTCCATATTGCGTATCGTGCGCCTCAGTTCAAATAAAACATTATCTACGATGAATGTTTTGAGAACCTTTTCACCGTCTTGGAATCCGCGAAATTTTTCCTTCGCCAGAAGGATATCTTCTTCAGCAGCCTTTGCCCTTGCTATCAGTCTCCTCATGGTTGCAGCTGCCTTCTTATATCCCAGCTCTTCAGCATACCACGCATATGCGGTAAGAGCGGTATGGGACGACCCTTCCTCAAGTTTTAATATCGCTTTTCTGATTCGGTCTAGAGTACTTATAAGCCGCGTGACAGTTTAATTTTTCATTAAGTCTGCGCGCCAATTCTTCGTAGAGTCCTTTCTGTGACGTCCGGCGAGGACGCCACACCTCCAGATATTCGCGGAGGAGTTTGCTAAGGAGATCGTGTATGCCGGTGAGCATAATACCTGAAGAGATATATTTAAATACCTAAGATAGATATATTTAAAAAAAACCGAAATATATTAACAGCTTAATATTTATTTGGTCATTTATGAAATTAATATAATTGATTAATATAATTGATTTATACCGGAGTGTTATAGCTATTTATTTATTTATTTTTTTTTTTTGAAGAGTGCTGTGTCGTATCATGAACGCCAAACGGCTAAATATGATATGGGTTGAAGGAAAAATCTAATAATGGTTATGGCAAATCGGTGGCATTTCAAAAAAAAAAAAGAAAAAAAAGAAAATGTGTTGATAAGCATGTATGCACACATGCACGTATTGATATGTAGGCGAAACTTACCTATATATTTCAATTGTATAAAACTATTCAGGAGACGTACAAGGGGAGATGAATGCATATTTTTTATACATTTATATATACAAGATTATATATTATATTTCAAGCACTTGTATGAATATATGGAAAGAATTAATATGAGATTTTTATTTTTCCCAGATAATCCCAGTTTACATATTACTAAGATAAATATCCTCCTCATATATACTACGAGCTGTTGGTTTTTCCATTCCTTTAATGACTTTGCCGCTACGCGAATATTCTATGTAATCTTCGGTTTGGGCCACCAGTAGCGATTTAGGTGGTGCTTGCAAATGTTATATATATAACAATAATATATAACAATAATATATAACAATAATTATGTCATGTATAATGTATATAAGTTTTGAAATACGATCGCTACTGTGCGGACAAGTTCAAGTGTATTAATTTGCCAACATTTAATTCACAAGTATATTGAATCTTTTGGAAACCTAACTAACAAGTGAAACGAAATTCAGAGCAAGCATTTTTCCTCACTGCATTTCTTGCGCTAAATGGAAGAAGTTTTCCTTTATATACCTTATTCAAGCTTCGGATTGTAATATATATACAGCAATATTGTTATATTGTTATATACATACCAACTTTATAGACAGATGCAAAAAAAGAGAAATCGATTAAACTTTATCCAATGAGACTGTGCGTTCTTTGCTCTTATTGCAACACATGATATTATTAACAGAAGAAATATATTTGCTGAGTGCACACAGGAGCCTCGAATTTTTCTTACTTAATCACCTTGCTTAAAAATTTAGTCACTTATTTCAATGCATACTTTCCAGTATTGGGATATATTTTCACAATTAGATTTTTAGCCTTAAGATTATAAGCACTTCATTTCAAATTCTTGAATTGCGATTGAGCATACTTTTAAAACAATTTAATGAGAAATAGCACAATCGATTTATTAACAATAAACAAAACTAGAAGATTCTATTATTTATTTTCATTATAAACAATCATCTGTGGATGAATAACTACTCAAGAAAAAGCATTATTTTCATTGTAGCCAACAGTAAAATAAAAATTATGAAAGCTAGAAACCGTACGTGTACAGGGATGTTTGATAAGTAAGTGCTGCCACTTTTTTAAATAATTTTGTCGTCGAAGAAAGTATGGTAAGTTATGTATTATTATTACTTAGCGAAATACAAGGCACAAATAAAAAAACAGCACGTGCATAATTTAAAAAAAAAATTCATGGAAAATGCGTATTGAAACGTGTTATTTTTGTTCTAGCAAAATATATCCTGGCCATGGCATACAGTTTGTTCGAAATGATTGCAAGGTTAGTGAAGAAAATTAGAAATCTTCAAATTTATGGTTTACTAATGAATTGTTTGTAGATTTTTAAGTTTTGCCGTGGAAAATGCCATAAAGCATTTAAACGCAAGAAGAATCCCCGTAAAGTGCGTTGGACTAAAGCCTACCGTAAAGCAGTGGGTAAAGAATTGGCCATTGATCCGAGTTTTGAGTTTGAAAAAAGACGCAATGCTCCCATCAAATATAATCGGGAAATGTGGAGTAAGGCATTGGGCGCTATCAAAAAGGTTAATGAAATTAAAGAACGTCGGCAGGATCAATTTGTTATGGATCGATTGCGCAAAGGACGTCAAGTGGAAATACGAATGGATGTTAAAGATGTTCAATGCAACATATCGTTAATACGTTCGCCTGCAGCGGGTCTGAAAGAGCGTCGTGCTCGCGAAGAAGCTGAACATGAGCTTTTAATGGAAGAAGATTTACCGGAAGAGGAGATCTCATATGTCGACGCCAGACAGTTGGAGAAGAAATTGGAAGAAAGTGCCGAGGACCACCTACAAGATGCGGAAATGATAAAAGTCTGAAATTATTGAAAAGAAAAGTAGTTCTAAGATTTTATTTAAATTAAATTTAATTTAAATGATTGTCAAGGCTTTTTTGATAGACGGACGTGAGCATTTCATTGTAGAGATTAAGAGATTACGATATGTAAATAACGCGGTAAGTGTAGTAGAAGACAGGCTTTTATTAAAAATTTTAAAGTATATCTTGATTACTGACATACCCATGTTGCTTAGCCAATCACCGTTTGAAATTTTTTATGTTATACCTTCTCTTACTTTCTTACCGTTATAAACCGTAATTGGATTAGTTGCTTATGTTTGTTTTGCCTTTAGCTTGCTGTCAGTTTGCGTTAAGTATCGTCTAAACAAACTTTGAATATTATGCAGTTTTCTAGTAAGTGTTTTTTTAGGATTCCAGAGAATTTTGTTTGCATTGAAATTAAAAAAGAGTTTGATTTGCAGAGATAATTATATTCGCCAGCATTTTGATAGGCGTAGCCTCTATGCTTTGGTTTTTTATAGCCGCTTTGGTGCGAGAACGTATCCCTAATGTTTTGAAACCTATGGACGGCTACATTTTTGATTATGCGGTGGGTAAGTGATTTTATAGTTAAACGCCGTAGTTCGCTTTAAAATACATTATTGGTGCATATGTACAGTTGGCGCTGGTAGCGCCGGTTGTGTAGTGGCTTCTCTTTTGTCCAAATATAGCAATGCTACTGTCTTGCTAGTGGAAGCTGGTTCGAGTTTCGGTTTTCTTAGTAAAATTCCTTTGCTTACCACTTTCCAACAAAAAGGTTTAAATGATTGGAACTTTGTAACGGTTACTCAGAAATATTCATCCAAAAGCTTAGCGCAACAGGTGGATAATGATGAATTTTTTTTCAAAATTTACTTTATTCATTTTTATTTCAGCGTCAGTTTTTACCGCGTGGAAAAGGACTTGGCGGTTCGTCCCAGCTAAACTATATGTTACAGTATGAAGGCTTTGAAGGTGACTTCGAACGGTGGGCCAGCGAGTACTATTTAAAGGATTGGCAATGGTCTACAATAAAGCCATACTTACAGGCTGCCCAAGCTAAGCCTTATGAACGTTTGGATATTCCCGCCACCTATTCGAAAATCACTTATGCCTTTTCGCAATTACACAGTGAATTCGTGCACAAATCGTGGAAGTACCGCGCGGCACAATATAATATCAAAAATGGTTTAAGATTTAATGTTCTCGAGAGATTTCTACAGCCCGCCTATCTTCATAATAATCTACGGATTATGACCAACACATTGGCCAAGCAAATCGTGTTTGTTAGAGACAAAAATGGCAAACAAAATAAGGTCAAGTTTTTAAAAGTTTCCGCTAAATCAGAAAATAAACCTCAAGATCAAACATTTTTGATCGAAATTCGTCATGAATTGATTATAAGTGCTGGCGCATATCAAACACCACAGTTATTAATAATTTCAGGTTTAGGCGATCGTGCGAATTTAGAAAAATTTAATGTAACTTCTAATGCACAATTACCTAATTTACCTATGGTCGGTCAACAATTGCATGATCACTTAATCATTCCTTTATTTGTGAGTATAGAACAAGTGGGCCCTACAGTAAATCAAAGGGCTTTATTGAATCCTCTAACTTGGCTTAAGTATATATTTATGGGTGGTGGACATTTGGGTAATTTTGGAGTATTGGGTTTTATTGATAACACAGAGGGCCCTATCAGTGATCATTATAGTTTAACCTTGTTTGGGGTGGGAGCTGTAGATGAAAGAGCTTTTATGGTCATTTCAAATTTTAAAAGAAATGACTTTAGAGGTTTATTTCCACGTTATCACAATACTAGTCAGGAAGGCTTTGTAATTAATTCGGCTTGCTTACAACCTTTATCAAGGGGCACTGTAAAAATAGATGATTTAAATATACGAAAGAAGCCAATTATTGATCCAAATTACCTTAATAAGGCAGAGGATATAAATTGTACAATAAAAGCAATAAGGGCGGCGGTCGAGGTAAAAATAAATTTTTTAAAATAAACTCTTACTTTATTTTTTTATTCGTTTTTTGCTTTCTAGGTGATTACCTCGAACAGCTTTTCCAAATTGGGTGTACAAATTCATTGGCCTCGTTTGAAAGGGTGTGTTAACTACGGACCATTTGAAAACGACTTCCATTCTAACCAACCAAGCGACGACTATCTAGAGTGCATTATACGTCACGTGGGCTTAAGTTCTCATCATCCAGCCGGTACTTGTGCTATGGGGCTTAACAGTACGAATAGTGTTGTGGATTCTCAGTTCAGGCAAGTCGAGATTTGAAACTTTAAAGTTCTCACAACTATACTTATTTCAAATATTAGAGTTCATGATATAAAAAACTTACGCATAATTGATGCCAGCGTTTTGCCGACACCTGTATCAGGAAATCCGAATTCAATTATTGTCGGAATGGCTGTACGTGGTGTTAGTTTCATACTCAAGGATTATAATGAAAATAAAAGAGCAAAATTATGATAATATTTTAACGCAACATATTGCTTTTTATTGTTTGGCAGAAACATGCGTTTTCCAAGGTTCTGAAATTGTACGAGAACCGCTCACAGGAATCCTAAATAGCAATGAGGCGTAATTGATAAGTCCGCGCCGTCACCATTGGTCTTATATATCTGCAATACAATGTTTGCTGTCTTTACAACAATTCCTATTTCTTAAGAAGAAATTTATTGGTGGCTTACGGTGGCACTTACGACGACTTCAAATTCTGTCAAACTTGAAATTTTGACGGGTTATTTGTAAGAATTACAGCAAGGTCTTATTTTTTGGGGGAATACCAACGAAAGACAGAAAGAATTGCAAAGAACAAAGAACTAAAGAGAATGAATAAAAATGTAGAGTTCACACTCGTTATTATTTTATTTAAAGAAAATTCTTGGAATAGTTTGAAGAGAAACCAAGTAATACGTTTTTCAAATTTGACAAAAAGCGACGTCGGATGGGGGTCCTTCAGTAAATAGTAGGGTTGGTCAATCAAAGTTTAACATTAATTGGAGAATGTTGAAGTGCAATCCGTTAAATTTCGTCTAAATAATGCTTTAAAAAACTCTAAAAATTATTAAGTCCAAAAGCAATCAACGAAAGTAAATGAAGGTCGAACCGTCAATTGTTTACACCCTATACCACTTGTGGCACAGAGTATATTAAATTAGTGCGACCTTACGTAACACGTACCTTGTATTATACCGTTCGATTCAGAATCATTATCCGAATTGATCTAAGCCTATCTGTCCGTTTATCTGACGTCTCTCCGTATAAACTTATGTTTAAGCTGCAGGTCGCAATATTTAAGATATTTCGATGAAATTTGGTAAAGTGACGTGTTCTCGCCGTGCGGCCCAAGGAGGAACACTATTGAAAACGATTCGGATTGGTCCACTTTGCCGATTGCCCCCCATATAACGCTCTATTCTGGAAAGTTTTTATGTGGAAAAAATTTCAATTTTCAAAAAGTAGTAGTATTTGGGCATTCTAAATTGCTATAGAAACTTTGGACGGGCTGGGGCAATTTTGAATTCCCACTCATATAGCGAAAACTGAAGTTCATACGACAAAAAGGTGTAATAATAATTTAACATAAAAAAACTAACTGTGCAAATTTGGACCACATTTTTTTGGACCATATTTTTTTAGGCCTCCTTCCACATAAATACGCACTTGGAAAATATGACTTTATATAGAAACAAGACATAATAATAAGAATAAAAATAAGAATTGAGTTAGACAATGTGGTGTAGAGTATTTAATGGTCGGCCTTGCCCGACTATAACGTTCATACTGTTTTCAAGTAAAGTATATCATTTTTAGCATTTAAAGCCGAAAGCCTTAGATGCTAGTGCTTAAAGACTTTAGTCTTAGGACTTATTCTCTGGCTAAATTTATAATAATAATAATAATAATTTAGTAATGACTTTCGGTTTCACATAAAAGCAAGTGGGAAAATCGTGTTAGGTAATGACCGAATCTTTTATCCCCATCAACGGTAGTCTAAAAAGGGCCAAAGAAGTAAAAGAACTAAGGTTTCGTTTTTATTTTTTTTTTTTTATTTAGAAGGGTGTAGGCGTTTCCTTCGAAAAGCTTAAGTGACTTCCAAATTCTTTTGCAAATTTGTAAGCGATATTTTCGTTTTCGCTAACGGGAGAATGTTTGCCAACGATACTAAACAGTTTGGCAGACGGACATGCTTACCTCTATTCCAAATTTTAAGCTGGCCAAGAATTTATCTACTGTACCTTATAACAATATAGATGCTTTGAACGGTCTCTGAACCTTTCACCTGGGCGATGCAAACTTTTTGACAAAGTGAATGTACAACCCGTCCTTCGGTGATGGGTATACAAGACTTATTTCGCATATATAGTAATAAATCGTTTCAAGATCGACACTTCACTTTACGACAGGTGTAGTTCTCTTTGAAAAAGATTATGCATAAGATATCCATAATTTAAATACAATTTTATGGGTATCTGCAAACAGAGTAGAATCGTCTTCTTTTATTTCGTCTATTTTTTATATTGACCACGGTACGTCGGGGACATTTTTAGAAATACACATTAATGTGCACACAAACGTACATAGTGCGTACTTACGAATTTTTCCAGAAAAAAGGTCCATATTTTCTTTTTTTTCTGATGTCATGCCGCAATTCCTTTTTTCGTTTTCATATTTTCTAACACCTCCGAGTTTCCAAACTTATTTTAATCATGAATCTTGGAGCGAGACGGGTTAGCATAGCCGAGCGACTAACAAGACAACATTCACAGGTTCAAATCTTACTTTAGTCGTAACTGTAGTGAGTGTGGAGTAGGTAAAGGAATGACACTTACTCTGTGTCCAACAGACTCATTAGGGTGCAGCCATTTCCCTACGTCATTCCTTTCCTTCACTTCTTTCCTTCTTTCTGACCGTCACTATGTTATACGGGTAAGTGACATACTCTAAGTGGTTGGTCAAAAAAGAAAGCGATGCTCGGGAAGCGTTAAAATTTTAATCGAAATATGTGTTTGGCGCCAACAACTAATATTACCCAATTGTTTTTATAATCATCGCAACAAACAAACAATTCAACGTTTTAGGCCCATTTGTTCGAACACTTAAACGACAAATTGACTGCCTAATGTTATAACAGTGCAAGAAAACGTCGCAGTGCATCGCAAAATCGGCCTTCAGGATGAAAGACGTTCGGTAAGGTACTGCGAAGGCGAATCTTTTCTAAAAATTATTCTAAGGTAAGCTTTTCCTATCAATTTGACGCATATATCAGTCGATATTAACTCATAGGTCTGTAGAAATTTGCCTATAATTTTAGCCGCAAATCGTTATTTATTAGCTTTTGTCAGTGTAAATCGAAAGTTACAGATGAATTTGTATTTGTATCTTAATTAAAAAATGCCGGACATATGTATAAATGTACATGCATTCGATCGTTAAATGGCTTTGAACTTGGCATTGATTAAGTTTTTAAGGTAAACATCATACTCATACAAACGTTCATTAGTTTCTCTATGCTTGCGATAAAAGGATGAAGGTGTAGTGGAATTCTCATTTCGTTTGTAACATTTTCGCAATATGCATTGTAGATCGTAAATGATATCGTAACAAAGTCGGAATTCGAACTATTCGAGTTTCAAAAAAAAAGAAGAAAACTTTGTCTTTAATTATAACTTATTGTAGCAGAAGTTTTACCGTAGTACTGGAATTATTTTTGGTGACTTTAAATTGCAGTAGGCACGGATAAATTCAGCCTTTCTAGTCGCTTCCATTAGAATGCTGAGTTAAGATGAATCTTGCGGTCCTATGCCGGCGCTATGACTTTGCGCTAAAAAACAATGTGTTTTATTGTCGTTGTTGTTACGGCTGTGTATCATATGCATATGTATTCTGCATTCTGGGGTAATGGTCACATGGTCGCAATTTTCAATTTAATAATAATGCTTATGACTTTGATGTCGCCCAGAATGCGACTGCAAGGCTTATTTTCAAAAAGCTCGGCTATTTTGGAACCAGTTAATCTGTCTAAGAATGAGCCGAAAGCTTATGCAAAGATTCGAGTCGACCTATCTTTATTCAAAAGATATCTAACCATTTTGGAGCGATTGTCGCAACAATAAATTTTCGTTATTTCCAGCCGATTGCAAAGTTTGCGCTTTCCGTTAATACATGTCTTGCAAGAACACAAAAAAAAAAAACTAGCGTACATGACAAGACTTTAACTCAAATTATAGAAAGATGAAACCGTCTCTCTTACATAATTTTCCATCTTGCACAATCGCCCTAACGGCATGTAAGGGCATAACTTCAAAGAAAAGAAAAGAAAATGCAACACCCATATAAAAGACACCTACGTAAGGCAACATCCATCCTAGTAACGGTGGTTAGTTTTCTTTTAATTTTCCTCCCTTTTTAAAGTATTCCTAACTAGTTTCGTTTTATTCTGCCATCTTTACATATTGACGGGGAAGAGAACTTAGATTTTTCATATTAACTACTGTGCTTGAGATATGCTGAGAATATCTTTCCGTGGCGTTAAGTATTGCTTTCAATCTGTCTACCCACACGTTGTATCGATGACATGTTTGCCAGTAATAAAAATGGTCCCCAAATATACGTAAAGCGGTAATGTGATAATTATCTGTTTGTCTGCTTGTACAGGTTACCATAGCAAACTTAAAGTTTACTCTTAAATTTATCCCTTTTCAACTTTCCAAGCTTGTTCCAAATAGTTGTTCCAAAAGTCGTTTGAAACCATTTTCCGAATCGGTTTAAGCTTTCCTGTTTCTTCGCGAATGTTTGTTTGCATTCAATCTTCAAGTCCCTGTTTCCGAAGCTTTCCGATAAAATGTTTCAGCATAAGGACAAAATCTATTGAAAATGGATTTGATCGGAGCACCATTTTACTGACCGCTCCACATATAACACCCGATTTCGGAGATAATTTGAAAAATATAGTTAATAGTAAATGGTACCTTCTTATACTAAATGAATGGATGGGATCAGAGAATTCTTCGAACTTTCTGTTGCCTAAAGGGTCTCACAAAAGTAAGACTTTACATGCAAATAATGTTTAACATATAATATTTTACGACGCAAATTAAGTCAGAATAGTGACTGCGTGTATAAATGAGTTTAAGGTGCTGCTTTAGTGTTACTTGTATCTCATATAATGGCACACTAAAAATAAATATAGCTTGACAAGGCAACAAGATCTAATCATTTGTATTGGATAATGAAAAGAAATAACGACTTGTATTAGGAAAGGTGACGTGGGATCTTTCGTTTAATGGTAAGCGTTAACTTGCTATAGCTTTTTCAATATCAGTTTCTTGTCTGTCGTTCTTATTATCTGCTTTTTTCACTGTTCAATAAACATATAGTTGAGGCAAATGATTATTAACTAACCATTAACAACTCAATGGCCGTGGGTTCAAATGTCGAGGGCGTTAGCGTTCTTAATACAGGCGCAACATATGATCTAAGTAAATCCACCTGCCTTTAAATCCATATGTCGTACAATCCATTATTTACAAAATATATGGACAATAAATATATAAATTTTATAATACCGTTGGAATCTTGGAGCACTAAGCACGTGGATATGGTGCAATTCACACGGGCCGCTCGTTTTTCTTTCAAATCTAAGTTTACTTCTTATACTTATAAGACCGGAGCAAATAAGTCAATTATAACAGTCAAAACGAGAGACATTTCTTTAAGTAAAAATTTCTATGTTATTTTATTCTTAATACTCGTTCTTCAATTAATGGTATGCGACTCCACAATTCGTTGCAAAGTGAATAGATTATCTAAATAAGTTTTTTTTCTAATAAATCTGAAAAGGAAACACACATTTATTATAGTTATGTATATATATATATATATATATATGCCTTTAATAGAAGTAAATTTTTTCAGTCCGCCCTCAGCTATTTCTAAAACTTAAACAATCGATGTTTTGAAGATTGATATGAGCACGTGTGTAAAGCTAAGGAATAAATTGGAAATAATTTTCCTTGCTAGCCACGGTCGCCTAAATATATCGTGTTATTGTTCTAATTCCTAAATAGTAATCTTTTCTAGGGATGAGGGCAGAAGCTCTACTTTTGAACTGAGAAAAAAAAAAAACTGTTCTTAAATTTCATACAACTACACATCGCGTTCTTTGTTGTTGCCTTGAAATGGCAAAACGTACGCAATTTAAACCGTTATTGTATCAATTTTTTAATTTAAATTTCAATAATGAACTCTCTTGAATTATCTTTGTTTGTCATTATCATATAAGAGTTAGCGAATGTGACATCATAGCTTCATTTATCTAAAAAAAAAAAAAAAAAAAAAAAAAAACGAAACGAAAAAAGAAGTAAATTGGAAGACTTTATGGCGATGTAAATACAAAATCTGACATAAAAGAGTTTAAACACTTAACTGGCGCATTATAATTTAATCAAATGATTATTTATTTATTTATTATGCATACACATACGTGTGTACGTACACATATATACATGTGTACAGACTTGTTGCAAAGGCATATCTGGCTGTGCTGCATTAATTCTTATATGAGACTCATCATCATCATTGCTTAACGTAATTATGAGCTATATTCTCCCTGAGTTTCTAACCAGATGTATTCCGCATCGCTATACAATACATAGACTACAGGCAGTTTCCATTAGAATTTTGTTTCTAAATGTACGAAAAACGAAAAAAAAAAAAAAAAAATTATCCAGCAATTGTCACAATTCAACTAATCTCGGTGAATGTGTATTTGGTCAGAGATTTGATGGAAACGAAAATTGTGATCAAAACCTGATGGATTTGAATTTAGTTGAAGTAAAATTTTACTCAAGCAAACATACCTTTAAAAAAAAAAAACTACTTTTAAGAAAGTTATTAAATATAAAGTGAAAATACCCAAAATAACTAAAGTAAAAACGGAAAAATTAACAAAATAAAATATAACATAAATATATTTCTTATAATAATTAAATTAATAAACAAGAAAAAATTGAAATTATTTTAGTTATCAGTTTAGCTAACGTCTCTTGTAAAAATGTCGGATATTGATCGTATTATAGCTGAACTGCAGCGTTTTACTTGGCCTGACTACGTGGTCTTCGTTGCTATGTTTATTTTATGCATTTTTATTGGCATTTATTTTGGTTTCATGAAAAAATCCCTTAACGAAGCTGACTATTTAATGGGTGGCCGTAATATGTTAATTTTACCGATCGCTTTATCTTTGGTTGCCAGTTTCATATCCGGTATTACTCTCTTGGGTCTGCCTACGGAAGTTTACTCGTTTGGTATCCAATACACCTACGTTGGTATGGGTGTCATTGCGATGGGCTTTGTTATGGGAATTTTCTATTTACCGGTATTTCATGATTTAAATATCACATCAACCTATGAGGTGAGTTCAATTAAGAGAATTCACGTAATACCGAGCGTAATTTTCCAATCTCGCTAACCCTGTAACTTGCTTTGTGATACGATTTTGGAAGAGTTAGTTTATGGTCATTATCCCCATTTCCTAATTGTTTATTTTTTTAAGGTTTTCTCTGTTCTTTAGCAATTGCTCGCAATTCAATATTGTACGTGACTTGTGTACTTGCACTAATAGTTTATGTGCTAAGCTTAAGGTCCGTATCTAAATTTTTGTGATATCGTAATATCTAAGATTAGTTTTGTGTTGATAATATATTTGCCAGTTTTAAGATATATGTGGATGATCCTATAGCACCTGTATCACGCCCATTCAGTGTTACAGAGTGTCGAAATTTCATTTTTTGTCTTCTTATATTTTTCAGGAAAAGGTGCTGGACATAAAAGATTCGGCCATAGCCGAATATAATTTGGTTACTTTTTTAAGTATGCTTGCATTTGGCTGATCACAAATTGTGGTATACCCTACACTGCTTAAGGCAATGGCTTACATTAAAATTGATCTAAATTTTGTTAGCTTTTTTGTCTAGAGGTCTGGCTGCTCTTCTTATGCCTGTTCATTGTTCATATTTGTATTCAACAGATCACAATGTTTGTGATATTTTGAGGAAATTTAGCTTACTGATACTTTAACCTTCAAAAACGAGCATTTCTGCAGGTGAATATATTCGGAATAATTTCCTGATTTAAACTAAACTTGCATACGTATCTGTTTGTCCGTCCGTCCTTAATATGTTCGAGTGTTCTTTCAACCTACAGGCCCAAACATTGGAGATATTTTAATATTATATTTGGTCCAAGAACCAAGGACACTATTGGATCGTACCACTATTTCGTCTAACTCCCACGTAATTCTTTATTTTATTATGCCGTTAAGTCTACTTTTCAGAATGCTGTAAGCATTCTCCTTTGCCCGCAAAATTGAAGCTACTGACTTCAAATTTTGTAGGCACATTGTAATTTCTTGCACGCAGGTTATTATTGAAAATGGTCCAAATCAGTTGAAGGACACGTCTGCAGGACTACGTAAAGTGAGAACACCTCTGATTTTCAAACGGAATAAAAATAGGTTTTTTGATCATTACTCTTAAACTATAGCAGATAAATATACAAAAATTTGGAGGCATATTCTATGGATGATGCTACAGTATCTGTACATAAGTAGGAAAAATTACCCTACCCCATATTGTAGTGTATGAAAAAACAACTTTTTTTATATCTTTGTAAGGTGAGGAAACAAGTTTCAAAAACCGCAAATTTGGAGTGCACCTCAGCATGTCCTTCCGTTCGCGTGTCCCTCTGTCTGTCTGTCCAACTGTGTGGTGTCTGTGGTAAAGATTCTCCTCTTAGTGAAAATGAAGAAATTTGCAAAAGATTTTAGAAGTGACTTAAACTTTTCACACAACACGCCTACAATGCTCACAGGCCTATGCGATCAAAACTTTTATTTTAATAATAGAAAAAATCAATCGCGGCCACTCCATAGTGGCCATAGAGCATGAAAATTTAGTTTAGTTTTTTTTTTTTTACTTTTTTGTCCTTTAGGATAACGGTGAGGGATCTAAAAGACTTGGTCGCGATCGAATATAATTTTCTTGTTTTTTTTTACGATAACGATGATGGGAATAAAAGATTCGGTCACGACGGAAAGTAATATACTGATCTGTTGCATCTAAGAATGCTGCTTCATCGTCATGAGAGATGAAGTGATTTGATGCGGGTCCTGTTATTTGCTAAAAAGAACGACTTTTGATTTCGTCTTTCTTGTAGCTAATATTCACGGTTCTAAAGAGGAGAAAATTTAACTAAGAGCCTTTTCCTTGTGGCAAAGCAAGAATATTGTAGTCGGGAAGGATGAATATTGGATACTTTGCCTAATACGGTTATTCACTCGTTTCGGTGATATTACACCAAAGGTCTCTCTTTTCATGCGGAGACATACTTTTCAGGAAAGCCTGCATATTGGCGGAATCCTTACATGCGAGTTTGATTTCTACATCATTTTACAATTATGAACTTATTTTCACGACGAAATGAGAGGTAGAATGTGGAAATGCTAACACTTAGGTACTTTTGTCGAGAAATTTTGAAAATTCCAATTTTTTTCGAAAGAGTGGATCGATCCAAACAACTTACAATGGGTCAAAAACTGCGACCCGAAGCTTAAACACAAAGACATCAGATGGACAGACGGACAGACAGGTTTAGATCGATTCTGAACTGTTCTCCGCATAATAAAATGTGGGCCTATCTTAAGGCCTTCTACGTGTTACATACGTCCGCACATGGTCTTGGGCACCACAAATGATGTAGGATATAAAAGGAGATTGAAAAAAATTCGGTTTTATTATAGAAAGAGAGACTATTACATTCAATTTACAAGCTTCAGTAGCTTTTGCTCATCTTATGCAATATCAATCATCTTAGCAATCTTTTGCAGTGATTGCTTACCTTACTGTACGTAGATATGTTTTAATTCAATTTATAAATATAAAAATTCATTAAATAAGTTGACCTTAAAATACATAAAATCAATTTATTACGATTGTCATGCTAATACATTTATTATTTTTGTCTATCTTTTTCTTTAACGACACTCATCTTCAGTACCTTGAAAGTCGTTTCGATCGTCGTTTACGTATGTTTGGTTCTGTTATGTTTGCTATAATGAATGTAAGTAAATTTATTGAAATCCTCTCATACCTAGCAAAACAAATTCATTGCATTCGTACATTTTCTGTGGTGACAGATTGGTTATCTGCCAATTGTTATTTATGTGCCGGCACTGGCCTTCAATCAGGTTACTGGGGTGGCAGTGCACACTATAACGCCTATAGTTTGCGTTATATGTGTGTTTTACACAAGTTTGGTAAGTGAGTTTATCGAACGTAAGAAAAAAATTAATGTTAAATTTGGCGGGTTTGGGGTTTACTTTTCAATTTTAAGGGCGGTCTTAAAGCAGTGGTGTGGACTGATGTAGTACAAATCATTTCCATGTTGGGTGCATTGGTTTTAGTTGCTATTAAAGGCACTCTAGATATAGGCGGATTCAAAGAAGTATTCACCAGTGCATGGCAATCGACACGCATAGAGGCACCAGAGTAAGTTTAGTTTTTACTCCAATTCAATACAATTACTTAGTTGAGACACTTTCTCTTTTAGCTTATCTGTAGATCCTACGATTAGACATACTTTATGGTCTCAGTTAATAGGTGGCGTAATTTATTGGACACAGACTAACGCTGTCAGCCAGAATATGATACAACGTTATTTGTCTTTACCGTCGTTAAGCTCGGCACGTTGGGCTTTGGCCATTTTTTGCTTGGGTGTCTTGATTCTAATGGCTTTATGCGCCTACAATGGTTTACTAATATACGCTACTTATAAAGGTTGCGATCCTTTAACAACTAAGGTAAGGCGTGAGGCTTTTGTCTTCGTAAGTAAACAATAAGTTCTTTTACATTCCAGTTAGCTAAGGCGAAGGATCAGCTATTACCTTTATTCGTTATGAATACATTGGGTGAATATCCGGGTTTAACTGGGCTTTTTATAGCGGGCGTTTTCAGTGCTGCCCTTAGCTCATTATCTACCTGTTTAAATTCGATGTCTGCTGTAGTGTTGGAAGATTTTGTTAAGCCATTCGTTAGTACCCCTCTGTCAGCTAAAGCTATTAACTGGATTATGCGTTCAGTGGTAGTGGGGGTAGGAGCTTTATGCGTGTCCTTAGTTTATGTGGTAGAACACATGGGTACTGTTTTACAATTGACAATGAGTTTAGAAGCTATCACCAACGGCCCCTTATTTGGTATTTTTACAATAGGCCTGCTAATGCCTTGGATTAATGGCAATGTGAGTTAAAAAAGTTACTCGATAATGATTCAAAAAAAAGAAGCTTGTAAAAATTGTTATTGTAGAGTGCTCTTACTGGTGGTATCTTTGGTGTCATGGCTATGTCTTGGATTAGTTTAAATGCTCAATGGGCTATCGCTTCAGGAGCCATCAAATATGAAACTAAACCTTTAACGGTAGAACATTGTAATTATGACTATGGTGAAACATTACTGGATCTAAATCACAACTTTACAATCTCTCGAGCAGGCAAGGAGTAAGTATGTCTTTTTTATGTTTAAATATTGGAAAATTCTTTTATATTTACTTATAAAATGCGTCCTTGCTTGGTGAACATGAATGATATAAAAAAAATTGCCCACGGATCACTGTCTGTTCAGTTAAAAAAATCATAACTTCTGCTCCATTGCCTAATAATAGATGTTAATAATTATGTTATAATTAATTTCAGAGATATTTTCCCTTTATATCGCATATCGTACATGTGGTATACCGCTTTAGGAGCGTTAATCACAATACTAATGTCGGGTGTTTGTGGTTGTGTTTTCGGTAGTAATGATCCCAGGAAAGTAGATCCAACGCTCTTAGCGCCTAGTATACGCAAATTCTTCTGTTACACCGAAAATAAATTCAATGCAAAGGTATTGTTATCGAAAAGTCATTGAACGTAATTTTTAATCGCTTACTCAGATTCTTTCCAGTCTTTAAATATAGACATCCCAATGAAGAAATATGCTATAAGTGATGACGTTGCTCTTTAAGTTTAATTTTTTATTTATTTATATAAAAATTTTTTTAATTTTAAGAATACTTATAAAATTAAAAATGTAAATATTTTTATAATAATAAATAAATAATTTTATACATTTGTCACAATAATTTCATTTTTCACGAAAACATTTTTTAAATTATTTGTTTGCGTCTTTAGTAAAAGTACATTTTTAATTAATTATTAAAAATATTTTTTTAAACTATGCTTCTTGTTAGAGATTCAATTATGCTTAAATAAATATACAATTAGTTAAAAGGAAAACACTGCTTAGCGCAATTTCGATTGAAAAAATTTCGTTGTTCTCTGCTCTTCAAATCTGATGACGAGAAGGAGTTGCGCATGATTGCATCATATGATAATATTAAGAATTCTTTATGGAAGCTTATAAAAAAATTTGATTGACAGTAGTTGATTATTGTAATCGTTTTTTACTGGTGTCATCATAATCATCGTCATCAGTATTTTAACAACAGCTTATCAACCACTGAAATAAAAGAAAAACAGACGACTTTAGAGAAGTTTTATGTGACTTGGAAATAATACTGTAATTTACGACTAAAATAGCATCCTAAATATAGCATAGCATTAGTATATGCAGGTGCCACTTGAGTTAAAACTTTTGTTTTTTAACCTTTATTTTTAAGTCACTTGCCTTTGCCTAGTTTCTCATCTATCTTTAAAATACTTCACCTTTCTTTTTTGCCGCTGTTTTTATACCCTACACCACCTGTGGTACAGGGTATATTGCAAAAGAGTTTAGGATAGATTCACCTTTTATTAAGCCTGTCTGTCTGTCCGATTTTTCTCTACATAAATTTTTGCTCAAGCTGCAGACTGCAATTTTTAATATATTTTGATAAAATTTGGTATACTGGCGTGCTTTGACCCAGAGACTCAACGCTATTGAAAATAGCTTGGATCGATACACTTTTTCGAAAAAAAATTGCAATTTTCAAAATTTCTTCACAAAATTCGCTCTGTAATAACATTGGACGTTTTGAATTGATATGGTTTAGCTGGTCTGGAGAAATTTTTTGAATCCTCTCTCATATGACCGTTAAATCATAAAAATATATAATTTTGAAATTTCATAATGAAAGTTAGTTCGTCATAGTAAATTGGCATAGAAATCATCCTTTCCGAATATAGACAAGGTGGGTCTATTTTTTGCATACCACCGCCTGTGAATGAGTAAAATTTCAGGCTGTATGGTCCCCGCTTCAACATCTAAGCAAACTAGTGTATTTTTCAATGAACTATTTGACCGAAACTTACGTCAACACAATCATACTTCTAATTGTAAAGGCAGATTGCTAGATCTTTGCTTTGTTAATTTCCCGGAGATAGCTGTAAATTACTGGGAATACGGGAAACCCGATATTCTCGCCCTATATTATATTAAACCTAGCTATTTCTGCATGCGTTCTGATTAGACAACCGTCTCTTAATAGCACTTGTCCTGGTTGAATAAAATAATTAAAAAAATTAAAAAAAACCATCTTTCCAAAAAATACAGGAAAAGTCGGTCTGTGCACGACTATTTCGTTTACTCTTCGTTGAGACATAGATTCAATTATCTCAACCCCCGAAGCCGCCGCAATAGAGCAAAATCCTCGCGTTCTTCTTAGTAATCCTAAATACTTTCATAAATTTGTCAACTCTAAGAAAGGAATGTCCGTAAATTTCTCTTCCGTCTCTCTCAACGGTTCCGAAGCCTGCGATGATATTGAAACCTGTAATCTATTTGCTAAATACGTCCGTTGAAAGTTCTCTTTGCTGGCTCTCTCCATAACAAATCATAAATTCAATCTCGATTCTGTATTTAGTCATTTCAGATAGAGATGTATCACAAACTTTAAGATCACTTAGATATAGCTGTGCGCCTGGGCCCGTTGGCATTCCATCATGGATACTCAAGTCATGCTCTCTTTGAAAACGGGTATTTTCCCTTTGTGTTGGAAGAGCAGCGTCCTTATTCCAGTTCATAAAGATGGAAACCGGATCGAGAACTACAGAGGCATCGTCGTATTGAGTTTCTTATCCTATCTATTTGAACGAAATGGCAAATGGCTTTCAATATCAAATTCTATATTTCTCTATTTCAGCATAGCTTCCTAAAACGAAGATCAACGAACCCCTTAGAGTTTGCTTGCCATGTTTTCAAGACTGATTTTAGTAAAGATTGTAGTTTGACCATTAACCGTTTAGAACCTTTTCTGTTTATCTTGTGCCTCAATGATCTCTCTTCGGTGATTCAGATCAGCCTTATGTTAATGTGCGTTGACGATGTACAATTGTTCTCTTCTTCTTCCTTAGAATCGCACTCGCTTCTGCTTCAATCTCATTTAGATAACTGGGTTACGTCAATAGGTAAATTTTATGAAGCTACACATAAAGAAATGTAAGAAGCTTTCACTTTCAAGGAAGCCTTTAGTCACTACTCATTATTTCATTGATTCGCAAGAATTGGAAAATGTAGATTTGTTTATGGATTTAGGGATTTTATTCGGTTATAGGCTTCGTTTTAATTTGCGTATTGAACTCTCTTTAAGCAAAGCTAGGTCCATGCTGGGCTTCATTAAGAGTAGGCCTAAAGAGCTTAAGGATACTTACACTATATGCTATACATATGCGTAGTTAAACCATCATTTGGGATTTTTTTCTGTGTTTATCAATTTTGTTATTTTTTACTTTCTTATTTTTTCCTTATTTTTCTTAAAATACTTATTTCTAAGTATCATTTATATTCGACTATTGATTTATTAGCTGTAGTTCGTGGATAAATAAAACAGAAAAATAAAAATAAGGATTTCTCCAATATGAAGGCTTGCATGAAAAGTACGCCTTTAAATGAAAATAGTGTACACATTATTGAAACGATTGAATTACTGTATTAGGCGAAGCTGTGTAGGGTGTGTATTAGTTTTGCTCTCCCCGAATATGATGTTATAATAAATTTTTTTCTAATCTATGAACTTTTCTACGAGTACTTTTTCTACATATATGTACACATATCTGGCGCATAGTTATATCGTGAAAATAGTTTCTTTACTCTTTCGAACATAATTATGACTATCTAGCAAAAAGATTCATAAAATCTTTCGCCATAGCACATAAATTACTGAAACTAAGAAGGAGCGACATACGCTTAATAACAGGCTTCTACAAGGATCATAGTTCCCTCAGGTACCATCTGAAAGTCGTGGCTACCTCCGATACCGATTGATACAGATTCTGCCAAAGGGACGATTGAGACGTTTTATCCATGAATCAGACATCTTAGGGCGCTAAAAATAAGGAATGGTTGGTAAAATCGAGGGTCCCAGGTAGATACTAAAGATGCTATTGCCTTATATATTTTTTATGTTTTGATCGCTGTCTTTTGTTTTTATCCAATATGTTTTCTCTTATTACATTGTAACAATTCATAGTAAAAAATATTGTTCTTATGTGTACGCATATACACATACGTTTCGTTGCTCTCGTATAATTTATATAATTCTTCTAAATGATATCAAGAAAACCTTAGTTGCAGCCAATTAACTGTAACAAATCGATTTAACATATGACATTAAATAATAACGTTTTTGTAACCATTACCGAAGGATTAGTGGTTATATTGCTTTCCTCAAAACGTTTGCAACGATCAGAAGGAAGCTTCAGACGCAGTGCATATATTCTTGATCAGCGCCAAATTGTGAATCGATTTAAGCATGTCCGTCTGTCCGTCTGTCCGTCTATGAATTATCTGTTGTAAACATTCTCCTAGGTGCCTAAAAGAAGCTACCGACTTCAGATTTGACAGAAACATTGTAATCTCTTGCACGCAGGCTGGTATTGAAAATCGGATAAATTAGTAGAAGGACACGCCTGCAGTACTAAGTGAAGTTAGAACAGCTGCGTTCTTCTAAAGGAATAAAAAAATCGGTTTTTTGATCATTGTATATGAACCATAGCAGATAAATGTACAAAAATTTGCACTCATATTCTAGGGGCGATGTTGTAGCATCTGTACAAAAGTTAAAAAAAGTGACCACGCCTGCCCAGTATTATAGTGTATTTAATTTTTCTTTCCAATACCTTCATTAGGCGCAGAAACAAGCGCTAGAAATTCCATAAGATATATAAATTCTTGGCCATTTTCAAATTCGGAATGCGTTTAAGCATATCCATCCGTACCTCAATTCAACATCGCGCACAAAATATCCAAAGAATTTGGAAATGACCCAACTTGACTATGCAACAAAAAATATGAGCATCATGCTTTCCGTGTTTTAAGGCCTATAAGGCAAGTACATACCCCATATAAATTTTCACTTTTGTTCTGAAAACGGAAATTTCATTAAAAATTTCATCCTTTTCCTTATTTTCGACTTTTTTAGGATAACGGTGGAGGGTATAAATGATTCGGTCACAATCGAATATAATTTTCTTACTTGTTGTTCTTCAAGCAATAATTTGTCTTAACAAGAACTTATTGTTTAAGTTTTTTATAACATCTATATATCTGTTTAACCTTTATACTAACAAATGAATAAAATGACAATTGTTTAGTATGCTTTTGTTTTACTAGCAAAAGTGTTTTGTTCCTCTCTGTTTCTAATTCCTCAGAACAGTTACCAAATAGAGATTGTAAATGCTGGCAACCTTTAAAATCCTCAATGTTTTTCCTACTATAAGTGTTGCTTGCTTGCTACTACATACGTACAACAATGGGGAATCGTTACGGATAATAAGCAATAAATTTCATACATTATTCATTGCGTGAAATATATTAAGTTCGTTAAGCGTTGTGAAGTCGAAAAATAGACGTTTTCGAAATAAAATAAATTCAATATGCTTGTGGTAAGCACAGGACTATGCGTTCAAAACTTTCAGTAATATATTAAATGCAGTTTAATATTGTTAATTTTAAAAATCAACAAAATTTGCACACAAGTACACGCCTATTATATACATACACAAATGTAAGAATTGGAATTGCAGAACTATCATATTATAGCGAGATGTTAACG